TGCTGGGTGGTGGGTGGTGCTGCTGTTCGTAGCCTTTTGGGTGCCGTGCATGACATTTTTACGTACCATTCTGGGGCATATGGTTTCGCCTTCGGTTCATCTCTCATTTCATCCTCTTTTTTTTCATCCACCGCCATTTCCAAAGTCTTTGTCTATTGGTTTTCGTGCTGGGGGAGAAAGAGAGAGAAAACAATACCCCAAATCGAACGAACCTTCTTCTCTGCTCCTGAACCGCGTTTGGGTTGCACCTTTTTCTTTTTTTCCGTGCTCGTCCTGCTGGTTCGCCATCCATCTCCAATACAGCAACGTCTGTAGTATTTCATATCCAGATTACCTCACCTCACCTCACCTCACCCGTTGTCGCCCTCCAACATTGGGTATTCCCAATAGGCCATACGAAGCAACGGTCTAATTTCCTTCTGCGGGATCCCATCACCGCATAGCATACGTATCTGTACGCTGCGGCGCGCTGCGCACGAGTCGGACGACTGAAACGAAACGGACACGCGCGCTCACGCCTTTGGAACCACCTCGCCTACGGAATACCCTACTTGTCCAAACAAACGTACCCGCAACAACGGTCATCTCTCCTTCGACTCGGAGTCGAGCATCCAAACAAAAACCTTACTCTGTCATCATCTCTGGTCCACATCTCTGGATCTCTACTGCAGCCGCCAAACCTCGTGGAACTACTACCTTACGTCGTAGTGTGGGTGTGCTTGTCTGTCACTGTTCGGTTTCTCTTTTTTGGCCGTTCCCATCTCGGCTTCGCAACCCCGCCAGCCGTTCTCGGCACCCCACCTTATCGCAGCCAAAGCCGCTATTTTTCGCCTGGGCGATTTCTTGGTTAAACAGTACCTTTCACGCAGTACCTTACCTTACCTTACCGGTAGTAGGAGAGAAGCCAGGCCGCCAAGCAGCGAATCAAACCAAAGGCGGAAGAAAGGGAAGCGTCGTCATCGGTTCCTCAAACTCTCTCTCGCTACTCCGAAAACCCACCGACCAGCCGCGGGCTTGTTTGAACCTCTCGCCTTACCCTCCACAACCAAACCAACCAACGAACCCCTTGTTCTGCGATCTCGAGACTGCAACCATGGCTGCTGCAGCTGCGCATGATACGCCTGAAGAGCCTCAGAGCGATGGCTCCAAGCTCAAGACCTTTATTGGTATTCTGAAGAAGTGAGTGTATGCCGTGTGTGTTGGGTGACGTCGTTCGGCGGTTTGGCTTGCATGCGCAGTGCTTTTTGGAAATCAGGAGGCGAGTTTCTCTGCTTCGCGGGCGGGGATGCGTTGGCTGATGGGCGACGATCCCTGGAGGGGTACATCTGCGATCGTCACCTCATCAGGCCTCCAAAACTCCAGAACCAGACGGACGAGAATCGTCAGGAAAGTGGAATCCGTGCTGACTAGCCTCCTTCTCTTAGGTTTATTGGTGTCGCCGACCTTGCTGCCGTCCGCTTCTCTCTCCCGTCCCAACTCCTCGAGCCGACGCCGAACCTCGAATACTGGAACTACCTCGATGCGCCCAACGCCTTCGTCGCCATCGGTACCGCGGACGAACCCCTCGACCGCATGCTCGAGGTCTGCCGGTTCTGGTTCACAAAGGATTTGAAGTACGTCAAGGGAAAGCCTTGCAAACCATACAACTCGTGCTTGGGAGAGTTCTTTAGGGTGAGTTACCGCCGGTCCTTCCTTTGCATACTATGCGCCTGTCATGGTTTATGACGCTGATGGAGGATGCGATTAGTGTAACTGGGAAACCGAAGATAATGCGCCCAAGATCAACACAACAGCCCTCGGTAGCGGCGCCGGTAGCAGCTCGTCAAGCTTCAAGTCGGCCAAGGCAGACAAGAACGCCTCGGCCGTCTCCCTATCCGTCCCGCAGCACGGCAACACGACACCTGAGAGCAAGCCCCTCCGTATCTCATACCTGACCGAGCAGACCTCCCACCACCCGCCCGTAAGCGCATTCCACATCAGCTGTCCCGAGCGGGGCCTCTCTGCCCGCGGCTTCGACCAGATTACGGCAAAGTTCACGGGTACTAGTGTGCGCGTGTTGCCTGGCGAGCACAACCTCGGTATTTTCGTCACGCTCGAAAAGCGCGGCGGCGAGACGTATCGCCTCACTCACCCCGCGGCGCATCTCGGTGGCATCCTCAGGGGTAGCTTGAGCGTCAGCGTCAGTGAGATGGCGTACATTACGTGCCCGCAGACCAAGCTCAAGACGATTTTGCACTACATTGAGGCTGGGTGGCTCGGCCGCTCTACGAACCGCGTCGAGGGCATCATCTTCAAGTACGACCCCGAGAACGATGACAAGGTCAACATTAAGGACGTCCCAGAGGCCGATATTGTCGCCCGCCTGAGCGGCCCGTGGCGCGAGAAAATTGAGTTTACCCTCGGCCCCAAGCCAGTGGTGAGTTGCCCCCTCCCTCCCTGTCTTCCTTCGCCCACCTCTGCCGCATGAAAGCTCACAAGAATATGCAGAACTCTCACCCTGCCGAAGCCCGCTACACAATCATCGATCTCGCACCCCTCAACGTAGCGCCCAAGGTGCTGCCCCCGAAGGAGAAGCAGCTCGAGAACGAGTCCTTGACGATGTGGGGTGGCGTCACTGAAGCCATCCACGCGAAGCAGTTCTCCAAGGCGACGCAGGTCAAGGTCGAGCTCGAGGAGCGGCAGCGGGAGCTGGCCCGTGAGCGCGAGCGCACGGGCGAGGTCTTCAAGCCCGCCTTTTTTGAGCAGGTGACGGACACGGGGGGCAAGCCCGAGTTGACGGATAAGGGTAGAGAGGTGCTCGCGAGGGCGCAGAAGGGGGAGTGGGACATGAGCGATATCGTTGTTGTAGAAGCTCCGGCTCCAGCTGCGGCTGCGGCCCCGGCTACGGAGAGCAAGTAAATGGTTGACGTTGTTGGGGAAAGAAATTAATTGGATTAGAAAGGCATACTGAGCGCCTGGGACGCTGCATCGGGCCCGTTCCTTGTTTCTCTTTCTTGGAACTCCTCTCCTTTGTCTCTTTTTCCAGATCATTTGGATCCGTTTGATCCTGTTGACCTTTCCTGAAGGATGCATCGCTCGCTTTTTGCTTTTTGGAAGTTTTTTTTTTCTTTTTCTTTGGTTGTTTTCTCGTTTCATGATCCCTCTCGCTTGAAGAATTCTTGCATTAACGATGAGGGGTCGGAGGGTGTTTTTGCGTTGCATGGTGTGCGGATGGGGGAGAGGAAGAAGAGGAAGAAGGAATAGGAGAAGGAGGAGGAGGAGACCATTCACATTGTTCGCTCTCGGGTGTGGAACATTGCGACTCATACATACATATACATTCACACACAGAGAGAGAGAGACACACACACAAGCCTTATTCTTGAAAGGCGGCGTTGGGATTTTTAGATGGTTTTTATGTTTTATTGGTTGAGTCTTTTTTATAGTAATACATTTCATCAATACTTTATCTTGCATGATTGGACTTGGGGGTCGGGTGATTAACGTGGGGATAGACATCACAGGCATATGGTAGGTAACAAGTGTCAGTCATATTGCGAGGAAACTGAGTTTGTGAGGAAAGCTTGGCTTTTATATAGATCTGAACAGGAGGGGTGAAAGCCAGCGTTTCTGGACAGCCTCCTGTCTTGTGATGAGATGGCTTCAAAGTAAACTCTATCTCAATAGACAACTTGAAGGAGAGGGGAAGAAACCTTGTTAACGCGGTGTTGGGACGGACATTCGCTTTCGGATGGCGGAGCGGACGTGTTGGGTGCCGATGGCTGCGTGCTGCCCGCCGAGTCTGGCCTGGCTCCGTGCGGTTCGGCCCCGCTTTCGGGAGGGGGGAAATCGGGGGGTTTGTGGACGTCCCTGATTTGGTGGTCGATCCGGAGTTGGATGTAACCCCTTCTTGACACTGCATAGGCACTTGACTTGGTACTTATGTTACATATTGCAGTTTTATCGCAAAGTTTGGGGGGGTTCCAGGATAGATATAATGCTATGGCATGAGAGGATAGACGTTTTTCGGTGAATATGGCGCGCGGGATGCAGGTGCCGTCATCCATGGTTCATGAAGGTTGTACTATTATCCTGGTCCCTCGTTGAAGCGCAGATTTCGCAGGGAGTAGGAAGGCTGGACAGGCCGGGAAGAGATTGTTTCATGCTCCTCTGCGATGTTACCTACCTTGGAAGAGAATTCTTGTCTACTTGTTGGTAATGAAAATGGTATTCTGTATCTCGTACATGATGAGTCTCATCCCATCCATTCCAAGATACCTAGAACTGATGAGTTGTCTACCTCTCGGGTAATAACGAGTTATACGGGATCTCAGAACTTGTTGTCTTCAAGCTAAATGGTATAGATGTCTGGTTAGACGCAAGAAACCAACTGCTTTGCCAGTACGAGGACCTACCCAGCTAATGTTTCAACGCTTCAACTTTGGACTCCTTGCATCCGGAACGGCTACTATGAGACAACGCATGAGTATGAACAATGCCTAAGTAAAGACAACAAATAATGATCTAGGAGAAGCGTCTTTGTCCGTTCATCAAAGATTACTTCATCGACCTGATTCTTCAAAGGGGGGATAATCACTTTGTTTGCAGGGTCACAAAGACCAAGCTCACGGAACCAATGATGAAAGGGGTTTGAGGATGAGGTGATATATAAAGTCAGGAGACTTTCAACAACTGACAGACTACACATCTCTACAAGATCAACCACTTCTCGGATAATAACATCGATCAGCATTTGTTTCATATTCCTGGTTGAAGTACTGCTTCTTGCCGGGACTGGCTCGCGACCTCGCTTCACCTTTGCATCGGCATCGACTTCACCTTTGAATTGACTTCCAGAAATCAATTTTCTAGCCAACTCCAAATTCACTCTTACAGCCTGTCTTCACTCTCAATAGCATTCAAGCGGCAGGCACTTCCAACTACGCCCCCTCTCCAGTCTAAGTTTCCTTCCTACTTTCTCTCAACCACAGCTCTCAATCCCAACTAACCCCTCCCCCATAATGATGGCTGGTAAATCCCAGAAGAACCAGGCACTGGCCACCACCAACGAATCAAGTGATTCAAAAGGCGTCGTCCCCCTCGAACTCTTCCTCGAAATCGCAGACCGCTACGTCGAATCCGCCTACGCCCAAGCCGCAGCCGAAGTCTCGACATGGCACGTGGAAGGATGTTCGGACGCCATCGACTCCATCTACATCAGCGACAACCACGCCTACGACTACGCCTCCCAGACGAAGCGCTGGTGCCTCGTCAGCACCCTCGCAAACCTCCGCAGCAAGCGCGTCTCCGACATTGTAGACAAGACCTTTTGCAAGTTCCCGCGCCACCACCACGTGCCCCGTCACCACCGCACCCCGGCAAGCGCCACAGAATGGTCTACTGCAGGACAGAAGAGCAACGCCATCGCCGACCCGCCCAGACACGCCTGGGTCCTCCCCGACATCGACGTCTTCGTCCTCGATTTCAAGGCCGCGGACCGACATAACAACGCAGACGGCGAGAACCCAGAACCCCTGGAGAACGCCATCCTCCAGCCCTCAGAGACAGCCGCGGTGGGGCCGCTGCGCATGATCCGCAACGTCAGCAGTAGCTTAGAAAACCTGATGACGGCGAGCACGAAGCAGATTCGCGCCCTCGCGGCCTTGCCGGAGTTGAGGCGCGTGCAGACGTGGTGCGCGATCCAGAGCCCCGTGCAGCCCGCCGATCACGAGCAGCCGCTGCACGACCACGCGGCAGTTTTGCCTGTTGATCCGGCCATCTTGCCTGACCTTGCTGCGGAGTTGGCGCTGAGCGATACGCGGCTTCTGTTGTTGTGGGAGCCGTTGTTTGATGCTGGTGTGAAGATTACGATTCAGCCGAGGTATGCTTTGCGTGGGGAGATTGAGCTCGTTCGTACGGACGGAGGTCTGCGTATGAGGTTTTTTGAAGAGGAGTGTAAGTGCTATCGGATTGGGCTGGAATAGTGTACGAGAGCTTGGATTGTGGCTGTCAGCGTAAGTTCTTTGGAGTTTGTGGATGTGTACCCTTTGACTCCAGGCTTGGGTAACCGATTCTTATACTTGGTGGTATACGCAGTGGGCGGGAAGAACCGAGCGGAGGAGGCTAGACAATGAAATTCTTTGATACCCCGATATGAATCAAGTCGCTTGCGAGAGCCCCTGCTTTGAAGGTGCCTTGGTGTCTCTCCCAATCCATGCCTACCACCAACCGGATCTATATGGATAAGTACACGAGGCAGCGTTATCTATATACTGTAAAGTTGAAGACGGTGAATGTGGATACTCGTCGAACACGTCTCTAGGGTCACAGGACCGTATGGATAGCACGAAATTTACTTGAGATCTTCGACTAACATAGTACTAGACGGCACCCACGTACTCTCCGGATGTTGGTGTGACTGCTCTCTTTCCTTAGAAAACCGTAAATGGAGTTCCTGAATATCTTGGCTACAGTCGATTGGATATATATATATATATATCAGATTATCAAGGTATACGTTTGCTTTTCGATGCTGGAGGTCGTCAGGGTGTCTCAAATTATGCTTTCTGCTCTGCCTGTTCTCGCTCGAAACCTCGGTTCTCTGTACCAAAAGAACCCCCAGAGATACATTACTTGACCCAAACTTAAAGAAACCTGCTCGAGAAGGTTATTAGCGCCATGAAATCTACGCATACATTGCTATGTAGAACAAAAAGAAAAAGGCCTTTCTCCGTCTACCACCACTACAGCGGCTCACCTCGTCTCTTTTCCCCATAATTTCGCAACATAGACGCCTTCAGTACAAGCAGTGCTGATCCTGACTATACAGTGTCGACTAAATCTTGCGCCGCATTGCTCTTCACTTTCGTCATCTTCTTTGACACTTTTGAAAGACCAACACCCGCCCCCAGCCTGAGTCCCTCTCCACGGCTGGACACTATGCGCTGGTCCACCAAGCTTCACAATACCTTGCAGCGTGTTAAATTCGAAATCAGAGGCACGACTCTTCCCAGCGGAGTTCTTCCGTACGAAATATGGCTCGCAATCGTCGATGCCGTGGTTGACGACTTGGAATCAACAGTCGAGCCATTATCATGGGTATTGTCGGGGTTCGAGTCCGAGAAGGTGACCGATGAGAATCGCTGCCTCCTGCTTGACCAAAGCAAACACCCCTGGTCTCACAGAATTGAGCATTTCTTGATTGACGACGCTAGAAACTGGGAAAAGAGTAAAGTCAAGCATCGACAACATGCCATGGAAGTCCTGTATAACTTCACACTGGTCGACCGCAGAACTCGAGAGATCATAAACAGACGATTACCGCAATGTACCTTTCTTCATCGAAATTGGTTCGAGCGTAATAGGCCACTGACGAAGCCTTCGACGTCAATACGAATCGTCCCGAGCATCGATCAGTTTGCTTACTCTGTCAAACGTCCGGTTCCGCAATCTCTCATGAATCTTTACAGGGCTCTTTTTAGTCGTTGGGAATACCACGGCTGCGTGGAACCTTTCTCTCATGTTCAAACGATACTGCTTTCTGCGATTCTACTCAGGCCCGGCTGGGCTCATAATCTCAAGCACCACTTTCGGTATTTACAGAAGATGCCTAGTTTGAAGAGTGTAGAATTCAGAGCAAAACGAGAGTACAGGGAAGCGGATGAAACTGCCCACTATGCAGTGGAGGACAATCTTCTCACTTTTCTGCCTGGGGATAAGAGTTCGGATATGGACGAGATCATTCCGGTGTGGAAGTGGCTCAAAGACAGAGGGGTGAGGTTCACCGTGAGCCATTCAAAGGCTTTGGTCGAGTTTACCTGAAAACACCTTCAGTCGTTTCCACGAGGTCGCTTTCACAAGACGCGAAGGGATGTTGGTGAAGAGTAAAAAGGGGTGAAATATGCCAGCAAAAAAACTCAGGTATTTATGTGAACAAGACATACCCAGAAACTTTGACGGCCTGTGCTAACGAATATTGCAGTGGCTTCCTCTCAATTTTGATACTCGGGCGATAACCGGAGCCCGCCATAGTCTTTGGCCCCAAACAAGCAAGGTCAGCCGGGAATCAACAGAGAGGCAGGCTACACAGTTGTAAAGCGCAATCACTCGTATTGCTAATGGGATTCGAAGTTGCCTAAGAGGTATGGCCTTAGATATGCTAGAAGTACGGAGTATGCTGTATATGGACGGCGCTCGAAGGATTGCGGCCGACGGTTTTCGACAAAATGGAACTCGACCAACTGGATGTTTGGCCTACGTCAGACGTGGACATACGGATTACTCCGTAGGCAGAGAAGACAGGAAGACTCCGGTCCAGTGAAATGATCCGCAGATTAACAAACTCATTGATACGAGATCTGGGCGAAGCGACTCGACTCAGCCGCACTTGATGGATACCGCCGCCTTACAAAATCACCGGGGATAGCGGCTGGTACCTGGGTTCCTTTCTCGCTCTCGCGCGGCTGATTCAGCGTTTACGTGTCTCCTCGCCACTTCGCTTACTGAACTCTGAATTGAATGCAAGATTGTGATGTCCCGTGAGCCTGTGAGGTGACTGGCGGTGGAGTTATGCCTGACTCGCCGGGTCTATGAAGGCCCGAGGTACGGGAAAACTAGAACCGGAAGTGTTTTTGACCTGAAAGCCGTAAAATCCTCTCAGGTATACGCAAGGACAAGAAAGAGCTCAAACCAAGGCCTACGTCCATGCATAGAGATTCCCATAGGATCAGTAAACAATCCTATTCGTACTCCGTTAAAGTTGCTTAGACAGACGACGGTGGTTTCTGCATTGGCCAATTGGTCGGTCAACCGGGTTCATCGGGGGAAAGCAGTCGAAGCGATGGGGACTGTGCGGATTGCAACAGGAAATCGTGACAGAGAAATGGAGACATGTCGAAGCGAACTTAGCGAAGAAGGCAGAGAGGGGCAAAGTGACACCTTGGCTCAACTCTGTACCGGCGGGATGTAACCGGGGCGAGTTCAACCATGTTGATTTCGCAATCTCGGAGGCCCACCTCGAATATACCATAGAGAGCGGCATATACACCCCCAACGGACATGGTGTAACTCGATTGAGAGATTTTCTGTCTAGCAAACTTATGCAACGTAAAGAGTGGTTTGCGGTGCCACGGTGCTTACTAGTCAACTCTAAACAGCTCATGACGAAACTAATTGAGAGATTTGTCGAAGGTGGTCTGAGATGTACACGTGCTAGGAGAGACATCAGACGAACTAGTGTAGGGAAAGGTCTAGGCCAACATTTTGCATGACACGAACCACATCCATTTCTCCCAGTCACCAGTACCAAGACGCCGGATCCAACGGCGCGGGAATGTGGGAACTCCCAGCCCCGGCCCGTGTAAGCTTTGGGTGCCCAGCTTGGCCAAGTCCAAGCCTCGGTGCCTGCCAAAGACCATCGATCGGCGGGATTGGCTCGAACCAAAGGAGCGGGAGAAAAGGGAGGGAAGGGAAGCAAGGAGCTTAAAGCAAAAGAGAGGCTCAAGGCCTCGAACGTGATCGATGATGATCGATGTGAGTCTATACTAATTTAGTAGTGGCAAAGCTGATCGTTTGTGTGCTTCTGGCGATGTTCCAGAGCGAAACGCCCCGACAAAGACTTTGTGTCTTTTTTTTTTTTTTTTTTTTTTTTTTTTTTTTTACCCCTGAGTGAAGGCTTGCAGCCGAAGCTAGAGTTTGAAGTTGTTTAATGAGGGAACAAAAAAGCATTGTGCAATGTTTGATTGGCTATACCCCGCACCAGACTACCACTTGAGTTCTCGCCCAGGAGCTGGGCTTTGCCATCCATGACGCCTTTGCATCCCACTTGACGGGATGATCGAAGCATAATAAACAATGTCCGTTCGGCTGCAACTTCATTAATTAGACGAGAAGAGAGTGTCAGAGAAAGAAATGACGGGTGGGGTACTCCGACATAGGCGAACACAGCCAGATAGGGTCTATCGTACTCAGGACGGGTAGTTTTCTCTCTCACTTTCTTCTGTTCTGGCTCCCTCGGACACCGACGCAATCGTAATTGAATGAGGCTGTGAAAAGAGGATTAGAGAGTGCCATGGTAAAGAAGACTCTCAGGCTTGTTTATTAAAAAGAGAGGGTGAAATTTGACAAAGAGATTGAGACATCGAGTGAGTCGAAGAGTCGAGAACTGGTCATCATCCCTGAGCAGATTTGGTTCTGGACCGCTGCCTGGACCACACGCTCGGCCCCACATGGGGTCCCTTCCATTTACCGGCAGCAGCTAAATCCACTGATGTGACATAATCTGGTAGGGCTACGTCCCAGAGAAATCCTTGGAGATCCTGGTGTGGTGGTGTGAGACATGTCGACAGGGGCGAGTTTGTTGCTGCCCGGTCGAATTTAAACCACTCATCTGGGGTCGTTTCCAATGTCAACGTATCCACTAATACAATGGGCACCGTTGTCTGATCCAACTTCCGCGCTTCCGCGGCTCCTGCAAAAGAAGGGGGAGGAAACTCAGGAAACTGTTGGAACTTGGAAAGACTTTTTGACAATGTTGTTGGTGTGGGGGGACACTCCAACACACTAGATCCTAATCCCTTCCAACTTCCAGGCTCCCCCCGAATGCCCTGGTCCTATCAGGATGCAAAGGAGATTCGATTATTCGTAAGTGCTCTCTCCAAAGGGCCGGGAGTGTGAGACACCACGTCTTCTAGTTTAATATCTCTGATGTGGAGGCTTGCATACGGGAGATCATCACTCGTCTCAAGTTGAATACTGCCAGCGGCAAAATATCCCGACATCAGCAGGACCGGGGGCAAACAACTCTAACTGAGTAAACACGATGCAGAATATATAATATCCCAACTCTCGCGTTCCTTTCCTATTGTTTCTCTTTTCCTCCTTACCCAAAATCGACCTTTTGCGTCTGTCACTCTTTTACACCCCAGCGGTACTCATCGACGCCTTGGCAGGTTCCATCCTCCGTTCACTCCTTCAGATCAACATCCAAGAATCCCGGTGATTTCCAAAGACCCCTTTTCAACCAAACCATCAAAATGCGTTTCTCCGCTGTCGCCGTTGCCGCTCTCGCCACCCAGGCCGCCGCCTGGAGAGGCCAAGGCCCCCCATCCGGCTCCTACTGGGGCTGGGGTAACACCGGCGTCGAGGCCAGCAAGGCCGCCGACGACTGCTCCGGCGCCGAGGTGACCTCCACCTCCACCATCACCCTCCCCGCCGCCACCGCCCCTCCCGCCGCCACTTCCGCCGCCCCGGTCGTGACCCCCTCCGCCGCCGCCCCCGTTGAGGAGGCCGTCAGCACCACCTCCTCCGCTGCCCCGGCTGCCACCACCGCTGCCTCCAGCGGTACCTCCGGCCTCACCTCGGACCAGCAGGCCGCCCTCGATGCCCACAACGCCGCCCGCTCCGACGTCGGCGTCCCGGCCCTCGAGTGGGATGCCACCCTCGCCTCCAACGCCCAGGAGTGGGCCACCCACCTCCTCTCCGTCGGCTCCCTGACCCACTCCCAGGTCTCTGACCAGGGCGAGAACCTGTACATGCAGTCCAACACCGACAGCCCCTACATCAACGCTGCCAACGCCTGGATCGCTGAGAAGTCCTCCTACAACGGCGAGACCATCTCCGAGTCCAACTACATGGGCTTCGGTCACTACACTCAGATCGTCTGGAAGAGCACCACCAAGGTCGGTCTGGCTGTTGCCACCAACTCCCAGGGCACCTACGTCGTCGCCCGCTACTCGCCCCCTGGCAACTAGTAAGTTTTAGTCTTAATTGAAAACAAACCGCCCGAATAGACGACTAACAAGAGAAATAGCCTCGGCGAGAAGCCCTACTAAACGTCGACAAGGACGCCGCCATTGGACGGACTTTGAAAAATGGCAAACGGGATCATGCAGCGACAACAAGGCAGGGCACCTGTTCTGGTAGCTACGTTGGCTGGGCCGAAAACACCAACAACTCTTTTCATTCTTGGACATTTTTTGTGTACTTGGGGTTGAGATATTTTCCCACGACTTGATGTCGAATCCATTCCAGGTCTAGGCCGATCGAGAAACGAGGAAAAGGGGGTAGATCCTGGGTCTATTTTACAAAACCAACCGCCCTTTGGCGAATTTCTTGCATGACTATAACGAGGCATAGTGTAAATGCCTCACGATGCAACTCCAATTTTCTTCAGTGATGTGATGTGATACTTCGATGGCACTTGGTTGTGGACACATTTGGAGCGGGTGTTGTATTACAAAGTGAGACTCGGGAACTTCTTCTCATTGTGGCTTTAACCGAGTCGCCCGGCGCCTCTTTTAACTTAGTGCTAGTCGACGTCTGGAGCGAATCGGCTTGGCATACAAAGAACATGTGCGAATGCCGTGTTTCGTCGCAATACGTTGACACAGCCGCCCGATAAATTTGTCCGGTAGACTTCTCCGGGAAGTGGAGGAACGGCAAGTGGACGGGTTACACCCACGGTCCCCCGCTCTCGATAGCGACGACCAATTTCATAGGCAAAGTGTCTACTTTGAAGATGTAATCGTGGAGAAAGCAGATTCCGGGGTAATTTAAGACAGCTTATATTCTTTTCCTTGAAGATTAGGGATACTTCTATCAACTCCCGGTGATTCATTCCCATGCTCCATCAAAGTTTCATCGCACGAGCTGTTCCTCCTCATTTGACTTCCCTCGCGAATTACACAGATCGGGCGATAGTTTAATCTACCTTATTTCATCATTATACTCTATAAGTTAGACAAAATGACATCTTCTATTAATATTACTTTCGACGGTAAACCAATTCACCAGGTTTGACTGCCCATGATGTGATACTGAACAAGTACTCTAGATTACCTCGGGTTGAATGCATGCCTTTACGAGTGGGCAGACAGCTACGACACAAAGGACTGGGACCGCCTTCGCAAATGTATTGCCCCTACCCTCCGCGTAAGCATATCGCCCTCCCTCTGGTAACACGCAACCTAACACAACCCTCATTCCAAAGATCGACTACCCCTTCCTCAACAAGATCTGGGAAGCCATGCCCGCAGAAGACTACGTCGCCATGATGAGCAGCAAACCCATGCTCGGCAGTCCTCTCCTCAAGACGCAACACCTCGTCGGTGCAAGCCGCTGGGAAAAGATCTCAGAGACCGAGGTCGTGGGCCATCACCAGCTCCGTGTCCCCCATCAAAAGTACACTGACGAGACGTTCAAGCATGTCGCCGTCAAGGGACACGCGCATAGTAGCAATAAGCACTGGTATAGAAAGGTCGACGGCGTGTGGAAGTTTGCGGGGCTGAGTCCCAAGATGCTCCTGACCGAGTATGATTTTGCGGCGGTGGCTGCCGAAGGGCGTGACTCGCTTTTGGCTGGGGCGGTAAAGGATATATGATGGATGATGGCGGCGTGAGATCTTTGGAGTGCTTACATGGTTGGTTGGAACTTTACAGAAATTTAAACGGAGTTGTCATGCCTGCCTTTGCATCTGCAGCTTGAGAGTAGAACTGATGGTCAATGAACCATTTTGAGAAGCATAGGACTTCGCCTTCGTCAATGCTGCTGGAATCCAAACTAATATTGGCCTTATATTGCTCGGCCTTTTCATCGAGTGCAAGGCGACTTTCCTTCCTTGGTGTTATCCGAAGACTGCTCATATGCGAGCCATACCGGAGCATCTTCTCTGAGATTCACGTGCATAGACTGATGGTCTTTGCACCTCACGTGGGTTCCGGCATACTCTCCTTTCGGCAGATTTGGCGCAGCGTTAATGCCCAATCAACTACTAGTATTAGTCCATGTACGTAAAAAGCTGCGTTAGACATCGTGATATTGTAGGAATGCGGTTGCGGTTATTTCCGTGTCGATCAGGATGATCTTGTCCATGATCTGCATTGAGCAAAGTCGAGAATGCACTACCTACTAGTGCTACTGAAGCCGCGATGACACCTTCTAGAAACACCCGCTAGCAAACTCATTGGACGAGCTCAGACTATCGAGCGACGAGGACTGCCCGTGGGTAGTTGATCTGCGAGCAGAAAGGGCCTCCTCTTGAACTCCACGTTCACACTCACAAGGTCAGTCGCGCTACCGCCAGTAATTTAGCCGACAAGGCACTATATCATGCCGATCGGGGCATCCGTTTGCAGCACTTACTGCACAGGAAGCGCTTCAGATCGATAACGATGAGGTCGGCCCCCGCCAGTACGACCTTACAAACCTTATTGCAAGTACCGTATCGCCGTTGAATGACTCGAGGAAGCCTGCCGCCTGGCGATATGCCCAGGCCACGCCGTTTCCGGTGAAAATGATGGCTTCAACGTGGTAATACACGTGCGAGTCGCCTGTCACCGTCATCGTGCTACGTGACTAGCGCCAGTTGGTTTCAGTCGCCCAACTCCATAACATGCCTCCCGTCGAGTCTACAGAGCGAAGTCATCTTCAAGACAACGAACAGTACTTTGAATGGCCATTGATCAAAGATACATTGAAACTAATGAGGAGATAAACAGCAAGATATACTCGACATTAAACATTGAGAAGGAAAAAACAGAAGGATTCAAGAACATGAACACCCCATCCCCTAGCCAAAGACCGCATCATTCGTGAACTACTACTGAGCTGGCTTCCTCCCAATGGTGACTGTGTACTTGACAAAAATCCCCTCCTCCGCCGATGAAGTCTCAAGACACTCCTTTGTCAATTTCAAAACATCTTCATCAGAGTACAAGTCCCGCTTTGTCAATATCTTTCTGAGAAGGTCTGGGAATGCCTTGAGAAGAGTGCGTTGCGCATAGCACCCGACTGCAGCGCTGGGAATATTCTTCTCGGACGGCATCATTGAAAACTCAAACGATCGCGTAAGAAGCACTTCGAGCCCGGCGGCTTTCATGTGATCTCCGACATGATCACCAACTAGGATATCCAGTCCCATAGCCTGCGACTCCTCTAGAACTGCTTGATGCCAAGACCAATTTCCGCTGAGCTTTGTCTGTGTACCTTGGCGGTAGTACTCCCAGGAGCAATCCTGGTGCTCGACGATGGCACCGGGCTTCAAGAGGTGGTGAACGCGTGAAAAGTACTCTTTCCAGTCGTCGATCGCGAGGAACAGCATACGCCCGAACACGTAGTCCAAGCTTTCTTCCTGAAGTCCCTGCTCGGACAGGTCGTCCATGATGTTGCCTTTCAAAAAGGTGACATTGGTCGGAGCTGAAGCTTTGACATGGTCAGGGACTGCAGACAGATCAATCCCGTACGCCCGTGAGGAAGGACATTGTCGTGCTAGCTGGGTCGTGGCTACCCCAGTTCCACATCCGATGTCGAGGATTTTCGACTTGCTCGGGAGAAGTCTCAGGTCGAAGAGAAAAGGCTTCCCACCCAGCATGGACTGGATGGCAAGTGCTTGTTCATCAAGATGAGCTTGCTCCGGAGTACTGACAGAGTAAGCTCATGTTCTTCGATTCGAGACGCCTCGGCAGGGTTTTAGTAGTACTTACTCATTGGGCAAAACGTACGGAGATGAAGTGTTATGATACGTGCGTTCAGCGTACTGTGATGATGTTGCCATGATGATTTTTCAAAGGTTTTGCAAGCTTGAAAGAATAGGATGGCTGGTTGAGTTACTGTTGTGTTCCGGCTGAACACTGGGCAATATGTGTAAACAGAAAGCAAATTACGTGATAGAAATCCATGCCCCTTTGCAACTTATATAGATATTAGGCTCTAGACTCCAGGCGTGCAATCGACGGCAAATGCCGTGCTATTGAGGGGTAAACTGTGCTTCCATTGCCTCATTAGTCGAAACCTTGTCCCAAAAGTAGTCTTATGTTAATTGGAAATGTTGAGCAATTACGCGGCAATCGAGGTAGATCATCCTCACTATTCATCATGGGAAGCCTACTCTGAATAGCTTCACTTAAAGTTTGATGGATCCTGCCATTATTGTAAGTCGTGTAGTTGAGGGGTAAGTCCTTTTTCCACGGATAGCTCGAACCTTATCCTGAATGCAGCATTTTGCCAATACGAATTTGTTGAGTCATGAAGATAATCAATCTCACGATCTACTTACGATGAGAAGCCTCTGTAGCACGTGTCTGAATAGCTTCACTCTAGGTTTGAGACATGCCAGGGGGCTTGAGCAGTATGAATATGCATTCGCTTGAATTTTGGAATATCTATTCCGACGGATCGCCGGCGTCCGCTTGTGAAAAAGAGGGATAAGCACGTAAGGTAGTGTCCTTTAGACTTCTCACGATACTGGGCAGAAAAATCAGATTTTAGACCGAAAATCAGTCCAGTTGCATCCGACGACGAGAAGCTAAGAGGAACATAGTTCGCACCGCCAATTTCCCAAGGAATGTGGGTTAAATCATGATTGCAGCATCTTGTAGCACTGCTGGAGTTCCCTCCGTGCGCTTGACTTGAATAGCAGCGGCTACGGTTGATCTACCTATGTACACCACATCGTATAGAGACAAGATAAGCAATGATCCTCAATATTCCCGCGAGATATCCGAGTGCATGAATCGTGTTGAGAGAAGCCCTCTTCAGTCTTCAAAATTTTAGAAGCTCGCAGGTGGCTGGGTGTCTACAGTGAATCGTGTAGAACCCTTAAGACCGTGAGGGCACGAAGGACGAGGTTGAGGAGCGAGAACCGCAGCCTACTTGCTCTAGTTCCTCGTTCATGGGAATATATAAGTTGAACTGCTCAGAACTAGACTGGTATGCCTCGCTCTTGCGCTCTCTGTCACTCCTTGATACATCATCTTCTACCCAATTGAGCACCATCCACTCATCCCTAAGCTATATCTTGTTTAACTGAGGCGGGTCCTACAATCATGTTGATGGGACATCTTCATCTTGTGTTCGGGCAATGGAACCACCTCCGGCAGTTGCTCGACTCGCATTCCCGTGTCGTTGTAGACGGCCAGACTTTATCACTCTCTGACGTGGTAGCCGTCAGCCACTATCACGCCGCCGTCTCTTTGACATTGGATGCCAATATCATCAATAAGGTTCACGAAAGCACTACTCTGTTACACCTAAAGCTCCGCCAAGGTGCCACAATCTACGGCATCACAACAGGATTTGGCGGAAGTGCCGACGTGCGCACTTCTGATCACGAAGAATTGCAGAGAGGGCTACTGCAGCTTCTCCAAGTGGGTATTCTTCTACCTTCCGACAAAGGCTCAGATCTTCATGGCGAAAGCCATCTTGGAATGCAAGCCTGGAGAGGGCATGCCCTTCCTACCTCCATTGTCAGAGGAATGCTTCTCGTCCGGGTCAACTCTCTGCTGCGTGGCCATTCTGGTGTCCGTCTAGAAGTTCTGGAAGCAATGTTGACCCTGCTGGATAACCATGTCATTCCGATAGTCCCACTGCGTGGCAGCATCTCAGCTTCTGGGGACTTGATACCTTTGTCTTACATTGCCGGTGTTTTGGAGGGCAACTCGGATGTCTACGTTGCTGTCGGCGCGCAAAGGCCAAAGTTTATGACTGCGAAAGAAGCCTTGAAAATGATTGGCCTGGAGCCGGTGCGGTTCGAAGCCAAGGAAGCTCTGGGTATCACAAATGGTACTGCTACGAGCGCCGCAGCGGCCTGTGTTGCCATGCACCAGGCTCATCAACTCGCCACGATGTCGCAGTTCCTTACCGCTATGGCAACCGAGGCACTACGAGGCCGGCAGTCGAACTACCATCCGTTCATATCCCAATGTCGACCGCACCTGGGCCAGGTGGAGGCCGCTGCCAACATACTACGTTTTCTCTCCGGATCCAAGCTGACCAGAAAGGGAGACGACCATGCCGAAGGCCTCGTCCAAGACCGATACCCTCTTCGAACCGCGCCCCAATGGATTGGTCCCTTGCTTGAAGACTTGATGCTAGCTCAACAGCAAGTACAAGTTGAGATCAACAGCACCACGGATAACCCCCTCTTTGACGTCGAGACCGAGACCGTACATCAAGGAGGGAACTTTCAAGCGCTAGCTGTCACTTCTGCCATGGAAAAGGCCTCATCCTCCATGCAACTATTGGGCAAACTCATGTTCGCTCAATGCACAGAGCTTCTCAACGCTAAGCTCAACGACTGCTTGCCGCCCAACCTCGCCGCTGACAACCCGAGCAAGTCATTCACAACGAAGGGGTTGGACATCACCATGGCAGCGTACATGTCTGAGCTGGCCCACCTATCCCACCCCGTGTCCGCGCATATTCAGAGCGCAGAGATGAACAACCAGTCGATCAACTCGCTTGCGTTGATCGCCGCTAGGAACGCGTTGGAGATGACCGAGATCTTGTACCTCATGGTGGCAACGTACATATACGCCCTCTGTCAGGCTCTCGACCTGCAATGTCTCCATCTTGAGTTTTGCAGCGTGACAAGGCCCGCGATGCTGGAAGTTGCCCAGAATTGTGTCGGGTTTCACAGAGCTGCTGACGGAGCGGACGACATTGCCCAGCGCTGTGGCGAGATCCTGCTCCAGAAGTGGAACGGCCTGGCCAACCTCGACGTGGAGGACCGAGGTCGAGCTGCTGCGCGAGAAGCGAAGGGTGAACAACTTGAGGTCTTGGCCCCGTACTTCGAGGGCATGCATCCTGAGGAGTTGATCATTGCCGTCAAGGCCATGGACGCTTACACAAAGCAATCCGCTGAAAGAATCAGTCATGAGTATCGCAAGACACGCTTCCGCTTTCTGGAGAACCCCAGCACAGGCACATATCTCGGGGTTGCTTCAAAGGCAATCTATATATATGTCAGGAAAACTCTGGGCGTTCCGATGCATCGCGGTTTGCAAGACTACCCGCCAACACTGGAAATCAATGAAAACCTCGGGGAGCCGGGAAAGAAGACCATAGGCACCTTGACCAGCGAGATCTATGTCGCCTTGCGCAGTGGGTCAATGCACGACTTGTTGATGTCGACAGTTTCTAGCTTAGACTTTAAATAGGACCCTGAGCAATGTGAAGAAATGTTGTGCTAGCTTCAATGGTTTTTCGCCAAAGAGCCACTCTCTAGTCTCTACTATACTGTTGACCAAATGCTTAGTGGACCCAGTGCGCTACATGTGTGCAGGAGAATTTTTTGGTATTACAGTTTCTTATGTGGGCAACCGGCACGCCGGCCAGGCCATGGTTTGATATGGTACATCGTAGAGTGGAAAACAGCTATAAGACAAGCCAAGAAGGTCCTTTTCCAGGTGGGTTTTTTTCGTATCATCTTACACTTTGCACGCGCGCCGCGCCATCATACATCATTGAGTTTCTTTCTTCCCAACAGATTTTTTTCCTTCCAAACAGAGTCATCATTGAACTTGAATTTAGGCGTTGACGAAGCCCTTGACGTTGTTCAACCACCGGACGTACTCGCGCTGCTCCTTGACGTCAATGTAGTCGGGCGCGAAGACGGCCAGGGCCTGGGTAATGCCGCGCTCCTCGAGGTAGCGCTCCATCAAGATCTGCAGGTCCTCGTCGAGGCTGCCGAAGGGGGGGCCGGGGTAGATGTCGCTGCGAGCATGGGCGACCTCGGCGTTAGAGGCGTGGGCGAGCTTGCCGTCCTCGTAGTAAAACATGTTGTCGACGACGATGGCGCCGTCCTGGGCGGTGGCGTCGATGTTGAGGGCGCCGGGGGTCTTGCCAGGCTTCTCGACGACGATGCTCAGGCGGCAAGGGGGAGCGGCCTCGTCGAGGTCGCCCTCCTCCTCCTCGAGCTGCTCCTCAGCGTTGGCAGAGCGGGCGCCACCGGATGACTGGACGCCGGACTGCTTGTTGGGGTTCTGGACGTCGGACTCGAACTCCTCGTCCTCAAGGGCTCGATCCTGGTCGTACATCTCGGGGTCGTAGTTGGCAAGGTCGGCGATGGAGAAAGTGATTGTGATCCTAAGGGTTTTCTGTTAGTTTCCCGTTTCGCAATGTTGGCTGCTAGACAATGCTGGGGTTGCAAACTTACTTCTCCTCGCCAAACTTGCGGGTGAGCTTGACCTCCTCCTTGCCAGGGGTGTCGTGGAGCTCAAAGGGGCTGTTGTCGATGAAGTCCTTGACGCTCGCGGGCAGCTGCTCGTTCTGCTTGACCTCCTCCTCGAACTGAAGCTCGCTCTCGAGCTTGGCGACGAGCTCAGCATCGGTCTCACCGGCGGCAGATTTCCTAAAGGCAGAGCTGGAGAAGGCTGATGCGCGCTGGGTCTGAACGGCAGCGCTCCATGAGGAGGCCTTGATGAAGGCGCTGGGGCGCGCAGTCTGTCTGAGGGAAAGGCGAGTGAAAGCTCTGGGCGCTGAGCGCGCGACGGATCTGATGGAAAGCATGATGGGCGGTGGACTGAGGTGTTGCGTTGAGAGGTCGTAATGGTTGAGGCAAGGAGAGATGCAAAAGCTTGTTGGAGGAGAGTGGAGGTGGATTGGCTGGATCTGCCAGGTCGCAAAAAAGCTTTGGAGAGCTCCCAAAATTTTTGACATCAGATCACACTTCGGCGAAACGTTTTGCCGGGTGACACCGGGCCTGGGTGGAGCGGAACCGCCAGGGACTGGACAGCAGGGTCCATTCTGCAAACACTTTGTCATATTCAGGCACCAGACCAGAACTCCACTGCATCTGGAATTGATCCACAGAAGCACCTTGATTTTGATGTTATCGATACGGAATCCGAGCTAAGCTTCAATAGGTAGCAACAGGATCCAGATGTACCGACCCCCAGAATTCGCCGTGGGAAGCCGGTCTCGTCTTCAAGAAACCACCTCAAATAACAAACATCAAGATCCAAGGAAATGGTACAAATATTCCCAGCTGACCCGCAGCTAGCCTATAATGAAATGGCTCTCGAGTTTTCGCCCTCCTCATCCAAATTACACCGTTTTCCACTTTCCTTTGTCCTTCTCTCAGTGAAGACTGATGTGGCGTGACACTGGTGATGGCCGGGGGATGCGACGGACTCTCTCTTTACACTTCCAACAGTGATTTCTGGTACAGCTGCGGTCACTACCTATGCCGGCATCACAGCTTCCAAAGACGCCGTTCTTCTTGGCGAGGAAGCAGGGTCTTTCCGATATGAGAACCGTATCTTGGTGACTGCACACGTTGCAGACGCGGAGGTGTGTGATGTATTTGCACATAGTTTGCTAGGTGTCTATATAAGCATTTATCTTGAGTGCGTCAGATTTTGAGAGAGGTGGCTTACATTACTGAGAGGCGTGGCTCAAAGATGGATGGATGATTGGAAGTATAAAGAAAGATTGAAACAGCTGTAAAGATCGGCGAGACGGTCGGGAACTGAGAATTGCCGCAGTTGTCGGGTATAACACTCCAACGGTGATAGATGGGAGCGTGGAGACCCAGAGAACCGGTTCGATGATATACCCTTCGATATGGCCGAGCGATCCTGCATGACGGGAATGCTCCCATCGATCCAGCTCATCGATCCAGCTCAGCAAGAGCCCGGCCACGGGCCATTGTTGTCCAACAGCATGATGCTATTCTCACTCTAAGCGCCCACCAGCATCTTGATCCTCTCTTCTGCGACATTCTCAGACGCTGCTGCGTTCACGGCATCTCACCATTGTGGGAAGAGCCTTGGATCGAGTAGAGTAAATGAGTTCATTCCGACCACAAGACTCTGCAGGTGTGTAACCGTCGAAAGCCTTGCAGAGGAGTAGAGCAGCGGTGTAATGTAGCACTTGGAACTCGAAAGGAAAGCTGGGTTTAGTTACAAAGTAGGAAAACGATTCGTTAGCAATGTGGTCCCAGTGACCTGGTCCAGGAGGCTTGGGGCAGATGAGATGCATGATCTTGGCCAGCTTGGCCAGTCTGGCCATGGACAGACGACACTGTGGGAAGACGTTGCGTTGTGGAGCTATAGGATCAGGACCTTTCAGTTCCCGGCATCATCGTGACTACCGGCGTGCAACATGGAAGTAAGATGGTTGGGCGATCTGGGACGAAGATGATCATATAATACTAGGCTACAAGGCACTCATGTAGCGTTTGCCGAGCCTCACCCAAAGTTTCGGAAGCAACCTTTTCATGCAAAACCGCCACGTTGGCTCTTTATATGACGCTGCTTCGGTCTCTGCCGCCCGCCTTCTGGCAGCCCCCCCTTCGGAGGACCATCGGTACGGCGCGCGATTCTCATGAAGCCACATGCTCTCTACGTTTGGCACACTTTGCCGAACCCCCTTTTGTGCAACGGCACAGGAGAATCATGGCTTAGACGCTGGACGAGCCAGTGATTTGACCATGCGTGGTCTGCTGTGATCCGAGCATTGGACCTTTCGCACCTCAACATGCACGGTTGCTGTATGTAACCGGAGAAATTTGTCTGTTGGCCAAACAAGAACTCCGATACAGTGCCTGACCTGTCCGAGACATTTCCCGCGAAAAGCCCGCTCTTCTATGGTGGCACCGTACGAGGAGCCGTACATAGAAATTGGAGCCGACGAATGATCCCCCATCCTTTCTCCCGGTGAAATCGATGATGGTGCTTCAAGGCCTAGCTGGATTATGGCCTCTTGTTTTCCCCCAAACGCCGAAAAAAAAAAACGCCATGATCATGCTGTAAGATGCCAGAAACTAAACCCTGGGAGGGAAGCTGGAAGGTCTGACGTTCCCGTCACTCGTGATCTTGACCCAGGCGAGGTTGGTGAGGTAAGCCCATGAACCCTCCCAGCGGTCGAGTTGAATGATGTTGGACGACGTTGTGAGATCAGGAAGGTCTGCAAAGCGTTAGAATGCCGCGAAAGGAAGATACGCTTCGGGGAGTCGACTGACAAAATCCGATCTTGTACTCCTCTTCAAGGTTGGAGATTCTCAGCTTGAGCAAGTCTTCCTTGGCACTTGCAGGGCGGCCGGCACGGCGGGTCTTCTTGACCTCGGCGTACTCCTCATCGTACTGGTGCACAAACCTGATAATGTGTCAGTGTTTTCTCAACTTATGTGGGCTGGTCGGCTTCTGAGACGTACTTGCTGATGAGCTCCTGAACAGCGGCCAAGTCGAGGGGCTCAGATCCCTTCTCCTGAATGGCCTTTTGGAAAAAGGAGGCACGGTCAACTACCAGATGTCAGTTGGCCAGCCTTGACGTTCTTGAACTGTGATATCATACTCATCGGCTGCTCCTTCTTGTTCTTTGAGGCGTGTAGCTTTCCCAGCCGTTGGTCTCTGATCGAGGCCTTGTGAAGACGCTTGGAATCTCTGGAAAACTCATGCAAGGCTAGGTCATGGCCGTTGCGCTTCTTCGCAATGTGCTTGCGAGCCTTTTCTAATGTTGAGGGCATCTTGACGATATTGGAACAACAGAGGGAATGAGACCGGGTCAGTTCACAATGAGATTGGTATCCGAGATCAATGATTCTCAGAGTTGAACGAGACGCAGAATGAGATTTGCGATGGCGCTGGTTCTGTGATAGTCGGTCTGTGCCCCACCCGATGAAAATCCCATCCGAGTCTGCAGGTGCGTTTGCTGTGTGCACAGACATTGGATGAAAAGAGTACTTGATGTCTCCACTTAACCCCAGGAAAGGTCCAATGGTCTTCAACCAAATCCGGACAGAGTGACGTTGCTCTGGAAATCCTTGTCTGATTGCGCTAATCCTCTTTGGGGTAGTTTCCTGGCCTGGTTCCTGCGTAAAAATTAAATACAAAAAGACAGAGAGAAAAAAGAGAACTGGGGAGTCGCGATATGAGCCTGACGCGGTACGGTGTGTCCACCCGCGTTCCAATATAGCAAGCCCAGGTCACCCCCCGGGCGATTCCACCGTCCCTTTCCCGTGCAGGAAGCCGTGATTCACTCCACCTGCACACCTTCGCTCCTTCGACCTCAGCATCGTGGTGAATTCCCGTCGACCTTGCATTTCCCCCTCTTTCAGTTCTCCAACCTTTCGTCGCATTTCCTCCGTACAAGTGGCATTTCCGGACTCGTCAACGTAGCGCCCGAGTGCTTTGTTTACATTTGCCCCCGGATCACCTGACTTGGCGTTCCGACTTTCAATCCTTACGCGAACGACTTGCCCACGCGTCATTCTCTCTCAACGAATGGACTGAGCATTGATTTCCCTTCGTCGACCCCGGCTTCTGGCCTGTGAATCGGATCAGAGAGAGACCTAGGCAGCCCTCAGGAAATACCGACTTGCCAACCTTTGAGGACCCGCGAACCCTTCTCGCGACCGAAAATGGGCGTCTCAGGTACCATTTCTCCCTTGCTTCCGGTCAACGTCCTTGCTCACCAAAACCCCCCAGGTCTGCTTCCGTTGCTCAAGTCCATCCACAGGCCAACCGAGTTGAAGAAATTCGCCGGTGAAACGCTCGGCGTTGACGCCTATGGATGGCTTCACAGAGGAGCTATTGCCTGCGCCGTTGATCTGGCCAAGGGCAACCCCACCCGCAAGTAAGTGACCCTAGCCATGCGCCGTGCATAACGCGCTTCCCAAGCTACGCAACCGTAGGTTCGTATGCCTAACCTTGCCTCAGATATGTCGACTTCGCCATGCACCGGGTGAGGATGCTCAAGCATTTTGGCGTCACACCATACATTGTCTTTGATGGCGACTTCCTTCCCAGCAAAGCCGCCACCGAAGGATCTCGCGCTAAACGCCGTGAAGAGAGCAAGAAGTCTGCCATGGAGCTTCTCAGAGCCGGAAAGTCATCACAAGCAGCCCTCGAGTTTCAGAAGGCCATTGATGTCACACCAGAGATGGCTCGCAATCTCATTGACGAATTGAAAAAGTTGAATATCTCGTACGTCGTCGCACCGTACGAGGCTGATGCTCAGCTTGTTTACCTCGAACGCCAAGGCCTCATCAACGGCATTCTATCGGAGGACTCGGACCTCTTGGTTTTTGGTTGCAAGCGGCTCCTCACAAAACTCGACCAGTACGGCAATTGTATCGAGATCAACCGGAGGGATTTCTGTGCGGTTCGGGAGGTTTCTCTTACGGGGTGGACGGATGACGACTTCCGCCGAATGGCCATTCTCAGTGGGTGCGACTATCTCGAGGGAATCAACAATATGGGTCTCAAGACGGCCTACCGGATGATTCGCAAGTACAAGACTATTGATCGACTGATCCGGATGATCCAATTCGAAGGAAAGCATCGCGTTTCAGAGAACTACATGTCTCGGTTTGCCCAGGCCGAGCTGACATTCATCCACCAAAGAGTCTACTGCCCGACGAAGAAGCGGTTGGTATGTTTGACAGAACCCGAGGAAGGCAAGGGTGTGGAGGATATGCCGTTCATCGGTGGCTACGTGGAGCCGGCCATGGCTACGGCAATTGCACTCGGAGATGTCAACCCCATGACCAAGGAGACCATCATCCCCGCGCCCATGCCTGGCTCCAAGACCGATACGAAGAGAAGGCATTCTCAATCTGCAGAGGCCCTTGCGGCAGTCTCTTCATCGTCGACCCGCACGCGACAACCGACTAAGCCGATTGATTCGTACTTCAAAGGCCACCAGCGTATTCCGATGGGTGAAATGGACCGCAACTGTTTCTCTGTCGACCCAGAGAGAGTTGCCGCGCTTACTCACAATGGCCTGGTACCCAGAGTCTTTCCCCTTCCTAGACCATATGTCGATGGCACTTCATCATCGCAGCCAAACGCCAGCTCGCGTCCCACACGAACCGCCCGTTCAAATACTTCCCCTCGCCTCTTACGACGACGGACCGAGCCCATCCAGGACTTACTGCAGCAACATGCTTCTAGCGGCTCTGACGGAACCCGTCGTATCACCGTCGGTGACGCGACAAACACTATAGACGATATCGATGCACTGATGAAAGGCGGCTCCCAGCGGCCTCCCAAGAAGGTCCGTCTATGTGCAGATACAGACATTACCGAAACGAAAACTGAGGAATCCCAAGAGAGCAAGTTCTTCCCCAAGAACGGAAGCTCAACCAACAAGAACAAGGACAGTTTCCTATTCTCAGACGACTCCATCGACGAGGCGCTACTCAATCTCCCAGACATTGATGGATGGCATGACCCGAAGCCCAAATCAATAGCGGTCTACGAAGAGAGTCAGAGCACGGATACAGGAACCGAAGCAACTGCCGGTACGGACAGCCAGTTCAGCAAGGACGGAGAGATATCAGCCACGCCGCAGACCGATCTGTCCGAAGTAGACGACGTTGAGCCGAGCAAGCCTGTCTCGTCGCTCACAGAGAAGAACATGAGACGGACGTCATTACAGCGATTTGCCTTCAGCTCTCAGCCCAGCCCTGCCGCCTCAAGCCAGCCCGACACGCCGAGCACCATTGCCTCTCAGCAATCATCAATTTTCACACCCTCGACCGCTGCTCCCTCCACTGCGGCATCCTCAATCACATTCTCGGCTAGCTCAATCGCAGCTGGCACGTCAAAGAACACTCCGCTTCTCACCCCGCTACAGCGGATGGGAGCCCGTGCTCTCCAGCGGAAGAACCCGCCTGCTCGGCGGCCCCTATCTCCTACTAAGAGCACGATACAGCGGAGCCCCAAGCGCAGTCCCCGGAAGAGCCGGCTACTCAAGTCGTTCCCCGTTAACCCGTCTTTTGTACCTCTGCCCAAGGTCGATCTGGCCGAGGTGGAGGCTCTGAACGCGGCGTGCGGAAGCGAAGACCAGATCATCCCCGATAGCGACGGCGAGAATGACGACGATGTCTTTGCCCACGACCTTGGCCAGAAGGACGACGGAGACTCCGTGCCCAAGACACTGAACCTTTCTCGGTTTGTATACAATTGAAGCAATTACTAACCACATGTCGATGCGATACCCACAAACGTTGCGTCCTTGTTTTGTTCTATCCACTTTGGAAGCAGGCGTTAAGAGTTACGCATCATTGAGGCGCCGTGAGCGCGACTCCTCTAGGGGAGAGATGGGTCTATTTTTCTGGGCACCCGATCGTGTTATCTATCTCTCTTGACTCAAAGCGAGGTCGGTACAGGATGGCCATCATTGAAGTTAGGGTCACCGAGGCGTACGGGCAGGAAGGCATACAGCATGAGTTATCATTTGACATGATTGGAGGTTACAAGGGACCACAGAACATGTGAATCATGCCGGAAAGTCGAGAGGGACAGTATAGCCAGGGTTTCTTGTATGCATTGTAATCACAAGGAGACGATGGAGTTTTTAGTAGTGGTGATTGATGATGGGAATATATCGTGGCCGGAAGACCCTTTTTTCCTCTAATGGAACGTGTGCGCCACTGCTTGTGATCATCTTACAGCTTGACGGGTCATTATTCAAGTCATGAATTACTACGATTTACCTACTTCTTATCTTGTTCGGAAGGTTCTCGTTGGTCACTCTTTTGAGAACTTATCTAAAAATCCAATCTCGGCCCGGACCGGGGAGCCGCCTAGCCCCCAATCCCACCTTATTATTACAGCCCTTTCCATATGGGCGTTCAAGAACCACCTAGCAGTACCCATCGGACATAAACACATGGACGGGTTGTAAAGATAGCCTAGTTGTGAAAGCTCACGAGTTTCACAAAGTTCACAAATCTAAACCAGAATACAGAATCCGGGATGGAAATTTGACCAGGACGTGGTTTTGCCCAATGATAAAAAAAAAAAAAAGAAGCCCGCTGTGCCTGGGACACGGGGCAAGTAAACCTGAAGACCTATACCATACACAATGCTCATGATGCGCAGCAGTCATTCCCTTGCCTTCCTTTACTATGAAAGAGAGAGAGGAGAAAAAAAAAGCCCGCCTCTTGTCATACTGAGAACACTAAAGTGATGACCATTGAGGCAGCAGCCGATCCTCCCCATGTTGAATCCGTTCCTGGGTCTAATGCCTTCCTCTTCCAAAGGTTTCCGTCTCAAAACCCACGCCACAAACCTTTTGCGTGGCTCTCTGAGTCCATGCTCCTGTGTACATCCATACCAAGCCCGAAAAGCGATCCGCTAGCCTCACGAACCATGCGAATCGTGTTCTTTCACCCCGGCAGCCGCAACTACCTCGTCGTATCGTTGGAAAGGAAGAACCATTCTTCTTCGCCGCTGTCTTCGTCGATTTCGCGCTCCACCACGTCCGCATCATCCATGATCTACTGACGACGACTGCTTGTGGCCCCGACTGGTGAAGGTCCGTGAAGATCTACGTTAAATGTCCAACGTCCTAATACGGTCAGCTATTATTCGATCTGGTTCATATTGCTAACGTACCATTGGCCAGGTTGTCTGCAGTGTCTTCAAGCAAAATAATCCGTCGCTTCTTGCAGTATGACGTCTTGTCCATAATGTCGACCTTCAACTTCTTATCACAGAGCTCCTGGACGGGCTTCTCAAACATCTCTGACAAGGCCTCGACAGCCATCTCAAGGTCCTTTTGGTTATCTTCGAAAATCTCGGTCAAGTTGTTACGCGCCAAATAAAATGCGAAGGCGTAGGTCCACTTAAGAGTCTGCCGGCAAGTTTGCAGCGTTTGTGAGGCCTGGTTCAGGTACTGAACCTCAATCCAAGACATGCCTGAGGCTGTCTGAAGCTGTACCATCTTCTTCTCCGTCTTATGGTAGATGTCCTTGTCGAGCTTGGCAGACTGTTCGTGGTTGGCGTATCGGTTGTAGTAATGCAGGTAACGTTCTAGCGATATGCGGGATTTGGCCTGCGCATCACGCGCATCTGTACCACTCTTTTCCTCGAAACGATTGCAGTTGTACCAGCTCGTACCGTGCTCCGACCATAATCCCATGCACATCCAGCAAAACTCGTGCTTGCACTTTCGGCATGTCATGTGGTTGCAGCCGCCGTTCTTCTCGATTGTCGAGTTGCACTTGGGGCACTCCTTGGTATTGGCCGATATCCAATTCGCAGTCTCCGAATCGTCTGCGCACTTCTTCAACCATCGCTTGACAAGCTCACAGGGAGCAGGCTGATGATCAGTCAAAATGCAACCAAAGCAGAAGCGATGACCGCAACCGCATGCTACTGTGGGGACGATTCTGTCCAGGTCCTTCTTCTTAATGGCGCATTCCACGGCATTTGGGCAGTCGGGTGCAGGGCACCACTTCAGGATTTCCTTGTCCTCCACGTACGTCCGGTTCAGCAGCTCATGGTACCGGGAGTTGAGATCGGCTGCAACGAGCAGATCCAAGGACTTTGAATCGATGATGCGGCCGCAGCCCTCGGCTGGACACTGGATACGAGCCGCCTCGCCTTCTTCGCGAATCTTTTGAGTCAAGTATTGGCGGTAGCAGTCTACGCAGTATCGGTGGCCGCACTTAAGAGAGAAGGTCTGGAGGCCGTCTTCGTCTTCGCAGCAGATGTCGCACATGAAACCCGGAATGGCTTCAAGCTTGGGCGGGCCAGCCACGTTCGAGCCAAGGCCTGCAGCCTCCAAGACCTTGTTGGGAGCGTCCATGTAGTCCTCGATCAAACGTTCTTTGTTCCACCTAAAGTGCCGCAACAATATCGCGACATCCTCCTTGCGGATGTTCAGGATCATGTTGACCTCGTCAATCATGTCATCCTGTTGACGCTGAATGTCCTTTGGTTCGTAGACTTTGAATGAGATGTCGTAAGCCACCTTCTTTTTGCTGTCGGAGTCCTTGATCATGCCCAGGTCCTCGGGCTCGTCTTCGAAGTCATCTTCATCGAAGTCTGTGGAGGAATCAGAGACGTCAGTCGGTGGCTTTGAGACCGAGGAGTCTAGAGGTGGGTTGAGCGGTGTATACATACCATCAGGGCCAGACATGTCCTCGCCGCTGTCATCCTGCATGATCTCGTCGTCGCTCGAGGGAGCCGACATGAAGTCCTCCTCTGAATCCATGCCGTTGCTCGCGGTGGTGACGGGGGTCGGGGGAGCGTCCTGTCCAGCAGCCGAGGCGATCCTCTTCTTTGTCGCGGTGTCTTGGTTGTTGGAGGATATCGTCGCCTCAGCGGCCTTTCTCTTCCGCGTAGTGGGAGGAATGGTGCCGACTGCAGATGGAGGCGAGGGAAGCGTTTCCGAGGGGGCGGAAACGGGGTTGAAATGTATGGGCGGGTGAGACACGGATGACGGAGATGGACGTCGAGGATCAGATCCAACGAGGGGAGAAAGAATGGCTGTGTTGGGCGCCGGTCGCGGTGCGGAAGTCACTTGATGGGTGGAGGGGTAGATTGGTAAGTTGCAGGCTGTGATGGCCCAAGGCTGAGGCAACAAAAAGGTACAAAGGCCAGGAAGAGCTGAGCAGGTAATACAAAGGCACTCGCTGTCTGCGGTTGTGCAGAGAAAGGGCGGGTTGTCGAGGTCGGGCGGGATCAGTCAGAGCGGTCGGCGGCAATAGGGACCTGGCTCGGGTGCCTGCGGTGTAGAATGCCGCAAGGTAGAGTGCGAGGGCGGTGGTCTATGGGTGATGGGCGTGGTGGGCGTGGATATGTGGATGTGAAAGTGGGATTGGAATGCGTTGCGGGAAAGGTGAACGACCTGAGTGACTGAGCGTGTGGGATGTGGGTGGGATGAATGGGTGGATAAGGCAAGGAAGGTATGTAAGGTAGCGGGAGGGAGTCGGACGGTTTGGTTTGGCAGTCACAGACAGTCAGGACCAGGCAGTGACTTCCTTCCTAGGTACCCGGCGAGTGAGTTGTTGAACCCAATGACGGAACTCAGACGTCGGGGTCGTTGGTTAGAAGAATGAATGCACTGGAGGGAAGAAGCCAAGTGACTTCATCAATGGCGGGTGACATCGGCAAATGTAAAGTACCTCGATAGGGCGGGGGACAAATCCCCCGCCGGGGGCGCGGGCTTGCACCGTGAACTACCGGTACTTACTGTGTAAGGTAGGGGCAGGGCCAAGGGGGAAGACTCTTTCAGAGTCACTCTCACCACACACTCTGACAGTACGGCCCCTTGCAACTCTGAATATCAGTGTCACTGGACAGGCCGACTGAGTCTAGGGACTCGTTTTAACATCAACACCATCGACACTACGTTCCAATACGCATCTCCTATGTTCTTGGGCATATGATGGCGGGATTCAGTCCCCAAATGAGTAATGTGAGTGAGTACCTTACCTAAGTACCTCAAGTACCTCCTTAGAGGTCAGGAGGGGGGACAAGGTCACAAGGTTGCAGATGCTTCTATTTTGCGCTTCCAGCGCTATCTTTACATCCACGGATACAAGCCCAGGGAAATTGATCAGGCACTGATGAAAGAGGCAGGCTTCAGGCACACGACTCGATTAAAGCACCTCACCCTCTCCAATCCCACCGGGGAGGAGACCAGTCCTCAAACTCCCTGGGGGCCAGATGCAGCCCCGTGCCAGCGTCATTGCAATAGTCGCTGGCCAGTGACTGCGTCTGACGGCGGGCAGGTGACTGCATGAGGCCCTCAGAATCTGGTCCTTGCCTCCAGGGCAGTGCGGAGTTAGGCGATGAGGGACTCAGGAGTAAGGCATACCTAGAGGCGAGAGGGTGGCCTTTGGCTTTGAACTTGATGCATGGCATGACGGTGGACGACTCACACAGCTGCCCTGAGCGCCACCACCCTCGAGAGTGTCACCTCGAGTCGAGACTCCGTGTTTGTCGCTCGATAAGCAGTGCGGAACCTGACGGAACTGCCCCTCGCTTACCCTTAGTCATCCGTTCTTATCGATAGCGACGTCGCATTCTCACGTTATTTGCCCCTGCATTTGTCAGGCGGGAGCGGCCCGGCACCAAGTGGCTCCGATGTCGCCGGTCATCGGGTGCATGCCGAGTGTCCGCAAGTGCCCGGCTCGGCCAGCTTTGATCCCGGGGTTTCCTTGATCTTCGGCGTTGCAGGCCTGACAAATGTGATAGTCCCATCATTGTCAATTAACTCAGGTACCCATACCGTGTCGACATGATAGCTTCCTAAGCAGGCGAAGGAAACGTTCGATTTCTTTGTGGGCCCCTGAGGCCGGTACGTGAAACACCATTTCTTCTCGCTGCTGTCAGTCAGGGGTTCGGATTCGGAGACACGTCTTCTGGGCTTGTCTTTGAATTCAAGCTGGTATTCGCGATACATATTATATCTTCTTTCAAACTGCATCTACCTGATCCAAGTGACCTTCGATGTTCCCCTATCTTGTAGTTCATTGCAACATCGCAACACCGGGTCCACGTCTTCTCAACCCAAAACCTTGTCGGCCAGGGAAACTGTTCGCGTTGTCAGCTAGCCCTCACAAGGCATGATAAGGTCCTCGAAATCTTACCTGCAGTGCCAATGTTATCGGGCTCAACGTGGGCCTCCTTGACCTTTCCGTTCTCGATCACGAGGGTATAGCGCTTGCTGCGGTCGTTGCCGAAGATGGCCTTGCTATCAAAGTCGACGTCAAACGCTCTGGTGAACTCGCCGGACGGGTCTCCCAGGAATCGAATCTTTCATAAAATTAGCATACCAACGCTGCCTCGGCGCAAGAGGAGAAGGGAGGAGGGTGTCTCAACATACTCCAGTCTGGGCCGCCGGGTCCAATTGGTCACCCCAGGCCTTCATGCTACTCGCTCGTCAGTATCAATCGCTTTCCTTCTACGTCCCCTTGCCTTGAAGCCTCAATGAGGTTTCGAATCCTCGAATGCCTCCAAGGTCCCGGAGAGGGAAACCTACACAAAGGGGTCGTTGACGGAGACGACAAAGACGGGGCCGGCCTCCTTGAGCTTCGGGTGGTTGATGTATGAAGGGATGTGGCTCGCGGAGCACGCGGGAGAGAAGGCGGCGGGCACGCCGATGATGAGTCCGTTGGTGACCTTTCCAAACTCCTCGGCGAGGTTGACCTTGTTGCCGGGCGAGTTCTCGACGAGGTCGACCTCGGGCACAGCGTCGCCGACCTTGACGAACGCGGCGGGCGTCGAGTGAAAGGCCCGCGCCGGCACGGCGGGGCGGGTGAGGGCGAGTCTTCTTGCGGCAAAGCGGAAAGCCATTGTGTCTGTGGGTAGCTTTGTACGGTGTCTTGAGGTTGAAGTTGATATTATGTGAGTGTGGAAGTTAGGTAAATGCTTAAGCTCCAAGACGGGGGCGCGAGGCTGGATGATATGTGTTTGTGTTGGGAGCTTTCTGTTTTCCTGGGGACTAGAGCTTGGGGGGGGGGGAGCTTGGTCTTTTCCCCAGACACTGCCCTGGAGCTGAAAGCTTGAGAGGGGCCTCGCCCACTGCCACTGCCCGCGCCAATTGAGACATTTGCTTGGCTGAGCTCGCAAATTGCCATGACATCAGACCAACGTCCAATGGCAAACGTCCCCCCTGCGTCCGGCCCTCTTTCCCCTGTGAGACATTCATTGTGTACTTACTTACCTTACTTACCTAAGGTACTGTATCCATAGGCAGAACATTAGTCAAGTTCTGTCTAAGGAGTACTGCTAGGTGTGTAACACAGTAACAAACCCAAGATGCTAAGAGGCTAATATCCTTCTGGCGCGGTCGCGTTGGTACGCCGTATTTGTTCACAAGCCCGGGGCGCTGCAACGCAAACTTGACTTGTCATGCACGCCACCAATAACGTCTGCACCTCATCAACCTCTGCTTTCTTATTCCGTGATACTTGCTTTTATCGCGCTGTCTCTCAAGGTCCTCGGTCCCTTTTCCCAATCTGCTGGCACTAGGAACCGGGGGCTTGACAACCACAATCAACACCCCACGCATTGGAACGTCAATTGACTGTCCGTCGAGATCAAAGCCTTGAGGGTATCATTCATCATTACGGGCGTTCTACTCGCGGCGTTGCCGCCCAGCTATTACTTCTACCTCTCATGACAATCCATTATCATCGTCTATTACCGCCTTCGTTTCTCCAATTGCCCTCTATTTCATGCATCGGGAGCCCTCAATTCCTGCCTCAGACTTCCATCGGCATCCAGAGGACCTACGTTGTACCGCTTCGATTCAAGACTGTTCCCGTCGTCAGCAACACGCAAGTTTTTAGAGAGGGGGGAACCCAAAGTCACAAACCTCCAAGTCAAGTTGCCAGTGCAAATCGTCTTCAGCGTCGCAGTCACCTTCCGAATCGCGTCAGCGTCCGCAAGGCTCTGGTTGATCAATCTTCGCTCGCAAACGTCGAGCTGCTTGATGGCCTTGTCAATCTCTTCTACGACTTCTCCGACGGCACTCTCCAGGTCATTGCCATCTTTGCCATTCCAGTACCGCACCGGCACCGCATTGAGAGTCCGGCCTTTTCGCTGCTCGAATAATTAGTTCCTCCCGCTCACGCACCACTACCATGAATAATGCACTTACCAGCTCCTTGTTCAGCGAGAGCAAGTCATTCGTCCTATTTTCCACAACGCTTTGTTAGCTTCTGCGTATCTCCATTCCGGGGTCTAGTAGAGGGGCAAAACTAACAGGCCGATGATGATGCTAACCGACTCCAGGATCATCTTATACGGCTGCGAGTTGACGACGTGCGCTGGCCACGTTGATCCAGAGGCGAACCTACTTTCGTTAGCAGAAAACCTACATTTCAAGGGAATTACCTTCATGTTTCCTTACTCTGCCAAGGCGCACAGAGGGCCAGCGCCCCCCGTCTTCTTGCGAAGTTTCTCATACGACAACGTCGTCGGCGCGTGTCCGTTCTGGATATACCGCATCTCTTGCACGGTCGAGTCAATGTACTCGAATAAATTGACCCTCAACCTCCTCCTCTGATCTGCCATTGGCAAAATAAATCAGCTCCCCGATTCCGCTGCTATACCCAGAAACGAGAAAAGAAACTCACCTCGGTCGTACTGCTGGCAAATGACTTTGGCAACCGGCTGAAACCCCGCAATGACGGGGTTCGTTGACGCCTCCTTAGGCCCCTCGGAAAGCTGGAGATATTGCGCAATGTAGTCCTTGGCCTT